CTTCCCTATACTGACAACTAAGAGACTTAAATAAGAAATCAGAAAAATCCGCTTTGACATCAATAGGCAATTAAGCTGAAAATAAAACAAAATGCCAAAGGGATAATAAAGATTTCTGGACATTAAAAATTTTCTTTTTCATAAGCAGGAAGGGAGAGAAAAAGAATAAGGGCAGGATCTGGAAGAGGGAGGAGACTGCCTGGAATTAAAAAGAATCTACAGTAAAACTTCAACAAGACTTCTAAAAGATACATTTTAACTGAAACTTTGCAACTAAATAGTAACCCCAGGAAGAGAAAGTGGAAAAAAAGAGCAAAAAAGAAACAGCTTGCGTGTATTTGGATTATTTGGTGATCTTTGGATTCTTGGTTATTATATTTGAATGACTAAAATCAATCGGGTGGTAGTTTAAAAATTTATACAATGGCACCACTTCTGGATGAATTGAAAATGGAACTTAAAAAGTACAAAGAAGATGCACAATAAGGGAAGGGTTCTTTTGGCTTCGTTTTTCAATTCTTAGAAATGGAGATTTGGAACTATGAGAAACAACAAGACTGCAAAACAAGAAGACTGGGACAAAGAAGAAGCCATCTTTAATGAACAAGCAATTTTATGTGGGGAAGAAAAAGGAAAGGGGGGGAAAGAGAATGGAGAATTTAAGACTTAAAAAACAACCAAAGAAAAGAAAAATAATTCAAAAAATAAGTATAATACTGGAAAGCAACAGAAAAGGGGAATACGGAAGAGAGAAATAGAGGTAGAGAGACAAGGGGGTAAAAAGGGGAGAGAGAAGAGAGGGAAGAAGGAAAGGAAAAGAAGTTACAAAGGACTGGAGCAAGATATAGAGAAACAGGACCTATTTAGAGATAATGGGTGAAAATCTAACTGAAAAAGGGATTCTGTAAATGTACATAAGATTGTATTGTTATATTAGTAAACTTTAGAAAATTGGAAACAATGTATGATTAAAATGAGGGATAAAATAGTGTAATTTAGTGAAATGTTTGTGAATAAAATAAGTGAAATAAAATGAGAAAATTGAATTAGGAAGGAATGGGAACATTTTAATTAGTCAATGTTTTATAAAATATAAGTGAAGGGGGGGGAATTAACTATGGAAAGCTTATAATTGTTCCCATAGAAGTATGATATTTAATTGAAAAGTAATGTTAAAGATGTTAAGACTTTAATTAATATTAATATTAATGATAGAATTGAATTGGAATGTTGTTTTAATTATATACATTTATAATTTTTTCTTTTTTTAAGAATACAGTGTGTATTTTAAGAATATACCAAGCAGAATCCAAATGGAAATTATGTATTATATTGAATGTTACAACTTTAGGGAAAAGATATAAAGGCGTCATACTCCAATCAGTAACTACAGGAGAAATTTTGTTTAATGAGAAAAGATAATAGATAATTGAAACAGGACAGACAAAAAATATAAATACAATGATTTGAATTGAGATGAGATAATTAAAATAAAATTGAGAAAATTAAAAGAGGGGAGAAGCTATGCAGAAAATGTAAAATAGTAATAAGATATGGAATAGAATATAAAAATGAGCATGAACCTGAATTTGTGTCTGTACGAAGAAATGTAACCCGGGATTACGCTACTTTCAAAAAAGATGTTTTATTTGTATTTTTTTTTCTCTTCGTGAAAACTCAAATAAAATTTACAAAAAAAAGAAAGAAAGAAAGAAAGAAGACGACAAGCATCCTACTTGCCGAATGGAAGAGACTCAAATTATACTCAGTTGTGACCCTGCCTGGCTTCCTGCTATTCAGATGTGTTACTTCCTTTTTCCAGTAATGGTCTGTGGCACTCAGCCAGGGAACATTATTAATTTCAGAAGTGGCCTGACAGCAAAACCACAGCAAAACGAGAGGAAGTAGCAGGGAGGCCATCTGTTGGTTTCGGCAGAACAGTAGGAGCTGAGCTCCATAGGCTCAAATGAGGAAAGCAGATTAATAATCCACAGTGAGGAAACAGTGCTAAATTTATCCACAGAGCATATTTAAAAAAAAAAAAAAAAGAGTGAGCTGCAGCTGGACAGGAAATTGCTGGAGCAACTTGCTTTTTTTTTTTTTTTTGCTTTGAATGACACGGGACAGAGACAGCAAAGGAAACCCTCGGTCCTAGATCACAATCACGGTTCTTCCAGAGTGATGACTACAGATCCAAAGGCATTGTGTGATTTCACATTTGTGGAAAGAAAAGGAAGAACAAAAAGTTTAAAGTAGATGGCCATTCTTGTTGCTGGGTTCTATACAATAACCTAGGGAAAAACAAAATAAAAAAACCTTTATGTCCAAACATTAAAGCAAGGTATTTTGCAACTCGTTTTGTTTAGCTTTGCTTCTGTGATATAAACTCACCCCACCATTGAAGCTTTAAGTGCTTTTTTCTATTCAGTTTCAGGTAGTTCAACTATCATTTTTTGTTTAGCAGAATTTGGGGATGAAATAAACAGAAAGTTCTGGTGCAAAACTTTTTCATTGTTTTAATTTTGGTTGACTTCTATCACTAGAAAGGGAAGCAATTTAATTGAAGAATCTTGCTGCTGACACATTGGTTACACATGGTCTGCTTTCTTGCTCTGTGTTTTAATTTTTACTATCTAGCTTTTGCTATGTCATCAATTTACTGCTTGGTCCAAATGGTATGTAAATGCTTTATGTAAGATATTGAACAAATTTATATGAAATGAAAGTTGTATCCCATGGAAAGTAAAGTGTTTCACAGAATCCACCAGTTAAACATCCTGTTTCATAAAGCCAGTTAGATGCTTAGAAAGTCTTAAAGTAGCACTTGAAGAACATTGGTAATGTCCAGTATTACTTGACATTCAAATTCCAAACAAGGAAGGTTATATAATAATCATAGGTAAAGGTAAAGGTTCCCCTCGCACCTACGTGCTAGTTGTTTCTGGCTCTAGGGGGCGGTGCTCATCTCCGTTACAAAGCCGAAGAGACAGCGCTGTCCGGAGAAGTCTCCGTAGTCATGTGGCCGGCATGACTAAACGCCAAAGGTGCACAGAACGCTGTTACCTTTCCACCAAAGCGGTCCCTATTTTTCTACTTGCATTTTTACATGCTTTCGAACTGCTAGGTTGGCAGGAGCTGGGACAACTAACGGGAGCTCACTCCATTATGCAGTACTAGGGATTCGAACTGCCGAACAGCCGACCTTTCTGATTGACAAGTTCAGCATCTTAAGCCACTGAGCCACCACGTCCCTAGTATAATAATCATAGCTAGTAACTATTTCCCACATCCATTAATTTATCTCCATCTTATGCCATTAATTGCTTGCCTCATTTTATGATAGCAAATCCTACATACTGGTATATTCCTTGTTTAATTGGATGTAACTTCCTGGAAATCAGCTGCAGTAATAATGAATAATACAATAATACAAACCTTTCAGATACTTGATAACAGTCATGTGTTCCCATAGTCTTCTTTTTTTCCAAATTAATGATGTCCAATCATCTTTAATTATTCTCTCCAAGCCCATCACCTTCACTGCTCTCATCTGGATATACTCTAGTTTGCTACCTTCTTAAAAATGAATAAAACATTCTAGGTGTGGTCTAATCAACACTGGATAAAAAGATTTATGACTTCATTTAACCCAAGACTTCTGTTGACTGAGCCTAAGGCTGCATTTATTTTAATTGCATCATGACTCAGCTCTGAGTCATTAAAATATCCAGATCTTTTTTCTTCTAATTGTATTGTTTGAGTTAACAAGGCATACTTCAGGGAAAGTAATACACTAAACAGTAATCTCGGGGGCAAAAAACACTGATTATTTTCAAAAGAATTATCTTTCAAAATGTGTACTCTTGCCTAAATAACAAGGATGTAGACTCTTACCTGAACTTGCATTCAACACACATTCCAATGAAAATAATGCAAGACTGATGCACTAAAGTCTACCCTGCATCCCCATCAAATGAAATGTATAAAAATGTAGCTGTGTCCAGAACTTATTCTCTGATTCAGGCTGAAAGATTTTTTTAGAACTAAATTACATGGAAACTTTAATTCCTCTTTTTGTAGTTTACAAGATGATCCTAGCTTTTAGGGTCACTTATGAACATTCTTACATAATACAAAAACAACCTGATTTCTCAATAACCAAAATAGTCATTTATTAATAATTTAAGTTCTTACATACTGAGAATAACATCTTGACTTCATACTAGCAAATTTGAGACTTTCTCTTACTGACAATCATGTGCAGGATCTTCTTGCATTCACACAGGTACACAATATTCACACACCCTTCCAGTTTTCTACAAAAATAAATGCGAGATATTGCATTTGAGGTGAAGCTCCCTGAAGTGTTTGTATACAGGTAATGCACTGTTTAGCATTTATCTCATATATATCTCCTTCATTTTGAAAAAAATGATTTTTCCATTTTTAAAATATGCAACAGGGATTATTTATAAAGATAAGGCTCCTACCCCCCAAAAATCATGAGACCAGTTTGACCACACACACACACACACCAAAATAAAAATTATGTAACTATAGAAAAAACTTGATTCACAAAACTGAATAAACAAACCCAAAGGGATCAACATTCATTTATAACCAAGAAAGTTTGCCTAATTCTACAATAAAATTAAGCATGCTGCAGATGTGTCATTTGTGCTCCAAAAGAACTTATCACTGGAGAATGCAGAGAAGTAATACATTTCAAGCATTCCTCTTTCAACTTTCATGTCATTCATCTGAGATTGAAAACATTTACATTGATCAAGCTGAGTATATCAAAAGTCTTTGCAAACAGATATTCTAAAATGCATTACGCTGAAATCGCTCTTTGGCTCCCCTAAATCAGTATTAATAATAATAAAAAATCAAGTCTTCACTGAAGACAATGTATATTATAAATGCACGTAATACATTTCTCCCAGTGTCACACACATGGATGTGTACTTAGTGTTCATTCTTGCCCATCTTTGTTTGGAAATCCTAAATTTTAAGTCACTGCTTAAGTGTCTTTTGTGCACGGAGCACAATATACTGTCCCACTTGAAGCGGTATCTGTCTTTTTTCCTGCTGGGAAAACCCAGCAAAATCCCTCATTTTCCAACAGCAGATTCCAACTGTTGTAACCTTTATTGTGTTGAATCAGAGACAGCTACTGCCCAAACCCAGGGCCCACAAAAGAATTGCAGTTCTCTTTAGCTGTCAAGAGAGAAGCATTGTGGAATGCTGAAAATACCCAGTGTTGGAAGAATTGATGATCACGTAGATTGCAAAGAGTCCACCTGGAAGACGTTTTGATTGGAAGGAGTGGTAAAATATAGTTGCTGAGTGGGCATGCGATTATCACAGGGGCTATTCAGCCCCAGAGTTCTTTCAAAGTCTAGCAACTGTCCCATGAAATTAAAGTTGGGGGAGATATTAGATTTCTTCATTTTGACAATATCATAAGCATCATTCATGGATAAGTTGAGTTTTTGCATAAGGTATGCAACTGTCACGGTAACAGAGCGACTGATCCCTGCAAGGCAATGCACAAGCACCCCACAATTTTTCCCACGAGCTTCATCTGTTGGGAAAAAAAGACAGAGACAAGAGATTATTAAGTCATACATTTGTTTCCTGTTTCAGATAACATGAGTACTTGAAGTAAGATGAGACATCAGTGAATTGCTGTTGTAACTTATTAAAAACATCCGGTACCTTCTCATGCCCAGGTCTGAATAATATTTTAATACTTGGGTTTTCTTTTTCCAAAAGCCAAATACATCAAGGAAATAACAGATTTCAAACTTAGGTCTTTCTAACCATGCATAGATCCGTCTATTTAATTAAAGCATAAATATTCTCTGGTGTTAAAGGCAAGTGGTGAAATTACACGGTGCCATCTTTACTGGGCTGTGTCACTCAACCTATATGTGCACAACTAAAATGCACATTAGTCTGTGCATAGACTGAACTGCTTTCTTGTAACATAAGGGCATTTTACACCGTTCTGCCCATAGAAAAGTAGTTATGATCTATTTTTACCTAAATGTCTGATCTATCTTTTAAAACCAAGATTTAATTCAAGAGTATTTTTTAACTTTTTGGACTAATCCCAATAACTGTTAATCTGAAACAGAATACTAAAGGAAGGTCCTTGAAATTTGGTTGGTTATATTTATTGGCTGCCAAAGAATTGAAGAATTCTTTGTAAAATCACATTCTAGATAGAATTGAAAAAGGAAGCAGAAGTATTTTATAGAAATCATTTATTGTATAAACTTGGTCAGATACAGGAGTTTAGATAGGATTTGGCTGTTAAAATGAAGACTTTTCAAGAGGAAGGAAGAAAAGAATCCTCCTCCAAATTCCTATGTATTTTGGGGGGGGGTTTTCATTTTCAAAGGTCTATTAAATGGTTTTGCAAGGGTAGTGCACTGCAGCTGAACAACGAAAGTATTCAGCTGTTTAAAAAAGGTGGGGGAAGACCCCGAACTCACAGGGGACAGCCCATTAAGAGAAACAGGATGTCAACATGGCTAGAAAATGGATTCCTTTGTCATAAGAAATACATTATAATGCCTGGAGATTTACAGCTCCCACCCCACAAATTCTTCTTACTCAGCTCAAATTACCTATATTCTGCTTATTACTACTAGAGTTCCATCAGATTACAGTACAGTATTCATTGACAAACAAGGGCCTGGCAAAATGGAAAAAGAAGACCAGTATAATTAGATCATTTTGCAGATAAAAACCAAGTTGTTCATGTCTAGTGCTACATATATCAGTATATCTGATATGTTTAAGAGCTAGTATTCTCCAGAAAAGGCATGTTTGAACATATTTTAAGAAATTTGTTAAACCAGGATTGTTTAGCCAATGTCCTACAGATATTATATCCATAATGGGGGCAGATCCAAATTATAGTGATTATTTGAATTGAGAGTGATTTAATAATAAAAAGAGCATATATAGAAGTATATAAGAATCTTGAAACTTTTGATGGCATATATTTTCTAAGATAATATACGTAAGATTGCAATCACAGACAAAAGTATTTGGTCTAATGAAATTAAGCAATCAAACTAAATTAAGATTAAAAATATAACTGCCCGGACTATTTTTATTTTCTGGTACAATTTTGCCTCAAAGTGTTGCCCGTTTAAAAACAAAAAGCACAAAATGCAGTGAACTAAATATAAAACATGGAAATCATTCTTCATTAAAAGCACTTATTAAACCTTAAAATTGTAACAGCAAAAATAAAGACCCCACCCCACCCTAGGATATCTCTTGTCCTTATCCATTTTCACAACAAGATAAATAACTAAAGCATCAACTGTACATTGTAAATTGAAATTACGCCAGCAGAAATGGATAAAATAAGAGACATCTCTTGTGATCTGAAAACAAATGTGGAAAAAATAAAGATAAAGCTGCCTTTGGAGAAGGCTTGCTGCTAGTAATCTGAAAGTGCTACAAAAGTCAGGAACTATCTTTCAATCTTACCTATAAAAGAGATTGCTTCAGGGAAGAATTGGGATAGGTTTTGGCTCCAATGATCAGAGATAGGGATCTGCTTGTACTTAAACTCGCCAGCATTTTCGAAGAGATTGGGCAGGTTGGGGGTGACATTCAATATGTATTTAATGCCAAACTCTTCGAGAACATCCAGGTTAGTAGAGTCCTTGGCGCAGCCCAAGTAGAGGTATGGCAAGATTTCCACCGGGAAGGAAGGCTGGCTGTTAGACAAAGGGCTGCCATCAGAGTCTGTGGCACTGTTAGGATCTCTGTCAATATCGGATTCCACATCTGAAGAGGAGTCAGAGCTGATTCGGAGACCACCCAACCCCAAGACTGGCAAAGGTGGAGAATTGCTGCTACATGAACTGTCTAGATTTGTTTCGCAGTGCAAGGCATACTCTGCCTGGAACCTGCAGAAACCCCCTGGGAAGGAAACAAAAAGAAAGGCTTGGAATTAAAGAGAGTTCCCTTTAGTGCTCCTATAACTGCTAGAGCCAGACCTCCCAGGACACTTTATGGTTGAAAAACACTAGAAAACTGAAAAGGGACTGACGCAGCTGTAAAAAAAAACACCCAGGTGATATTAGTGAAGGTTTTGAAATATTTCTCTTCTATGGAGTTTAGTGGACTAGAACTAAACATAAACATAGCTATAGTGTCCCTTATATGAAATCTATATAACTGGATTCTAGGCCATCCACTGTTACAGCTGATCCAACAGCCACAGAACATCAACTATTAACTCACATTCAAACCCTGCACTCCCCTTCTCTGCAGCTTCAGCTCCCCACATCTTGATAATCTTCAAAGAGCAAAGCTTATGCCACTCCAACCAGCAGGAACAGTAGCATGCAGAGGGATCAAGAACTGTAGTTCATCACTGATCCGGAAACTGGATTACATGATCTGTAAAGCACCTCTTTGGATGGTATCAGGTTAGGGATGCCAGAGCTACTCACTGGCTTTTCAAACAAAGGCGCAGTAGAGCAATTGGCTGTTCCTTAAAAGGCACCCTTTGCTTGAAAAGATTTCCTTCCCCTACAGAGCATATAAACAGTATCCTCGATTGAAACAGCAGGAAGCTTCTTTGAAATAATATTTTTGAAGAAGACAGGCATTCATGGCCCGGGGAAGAGGAATTTTAGGAAGCAATGCATATTATTCCGCTTAAGAGCCAAGCCTGATCTGTCAACCTCAACTTCTCCGAGCCTGGACCATTCCTGGGGAAGGAAGGTGACAATGCTGCTTGAGGATTCCCCTCCTCCCCTCTCCGCCCCCAGCGGGCTCTTTCTGTTTGGAAGGGGCAGGCACGAGGCGTTTGACGCCAGAGGCAGGCACTTGCTACGTCGCTTTTCTGGAAGCGGGATTTTCCCTACGAGGGGGAATCCTTAACCAAGAGTAGAGTTGCTTTGACTAGAAGAGGGAGCACGTTCCGTTCATCCCCGGACTACAGAGGCGGGAGCTGGCTTCGAAGCCTGCCCGAAAACTAGTTCAAAGGATTGGAAACACGGGCTGGGGGGAGGGGGGGCGTTGCAGACTCGAGCCTACAAGAGGTTTTAATCTCTTTACAACTCCAGAGCCATCTGGCAGCTCTGCGCTTCGGGCCATGCAAGGCAAAGGCGCCGAGCGGCCAGATGCCGGGGGCTGGTACTAAAGGAGTAAGGGCAAAACAAAGGTTAGGGTGGGGGGTGGGAGGGAGGAAATGAGAGTCGCCGCGGCTCTGGATGCACAAGGCAAAATAAACAAAAAAAAACCAAACAAACCCAAACGCGGGAGAAGAGTGGAGCCGACCTGGTTAACCCCTCACCTTCCAGGTAGAAGGCCTTACAGCCGTCGTCTTTCAGGCGCTTGAGGAGCAGCCCCAGCACAGAGTCGCCCACCGTGTTCTCGTTCCAGTCGCTGCTGTTCTCGTCGTAGAGGACCACGGTGTCGGTTCCGCAGCGGCGGGCGAACTTTTCGCGCTCCTCCTCGCCCCGGGCGAAGAGGGCGCGCAGCGGCAGGTTGCCCTTCTGCAGCCGGCGCAGCATAATCCCCGGCAGGGCCACGTTGATGGCCGACTCGATGTGCGACGACTCGTAGAGCTCCTGCGGGCGGCAGTCCATCAGCAGCAGCCGCTCGTTGCCCAGCTCCAGCTGTTCGTTCAGCCAGGCCACCGTCTTGCAGATCGCCATGTCCGACGCGAGAGAGACTACCGGCGAGCGAAGCGTATCTAGCATGAGGAAGGACTCGGGCAGGCCAGGCTGGGGGGGCCGCTCCGCAAAGCGCCCCTATCCAAAGAGCCACGGCGGCCGGCGGGATGGAGCCGGAGGGGCGCGAGCGGAGCCGTCGGTCCGAACTCGGCCCGTTGCTCGCCTTTTCTGGCTTAGCCTCCGCGTCGCCGTGCGCGTTGCAAGCCGAAGGGCTGCTCTCGTCTTGGGAGAGCTGCTTTCTCTGGAGCGTTGCCGGGAACTCCCTTAGTTTAGGTACATTACCATCGCCCTTTACCTTCGGGAAAGTATAGACTGCAATTCAATGTGCTGAAGCGGTTTATTTTTGCACCGCACAAGCAAATGCATTAAAGGCAGAGCGTTTTAGCGAGCCCCGGGCTGCCCCTGGTGCCGTTACTGCTCTGTCTACCGCTCCCGCGTGCAGCTTTTCATGGCCTCGGCTCCTATTTCTTTTCCCACCTCCTGCTTCTCTCTCTCTTTCTCTTTTCTTTCTTTGCCTCCTCTTTTTCTTCCTTCCCTTCAAGTCCCCTTGTGATCAATGTCCCTTTTAATCAACCCTGCACACTATCGCCCCTCTTTCAGCGCCGGGCAGTTCCTCAATGGATACAAACATGGAACGTCTCAATGGATACATTCTCTCGCTCGGCCAATCAGCGCTTGCGGAAGGGGCGGTTGCCGTGGAAACGGGCCGGCTGGAACAGGTTGTGTTGATGAATTGTTAATGAGTTTGTCATTCACAAAAACGGAAAGGAATTTCCGCTCCGGATAAGCCGAGTGCAAACAAGCAGCAACAGCAGCTCAGCGGGAGGAAGGAAGAAAGGTGCGGGGAGGGCGGGGGGGAGGAGGAGAGGGGAAGGCACAGCCACTAGAGTCGCGCGTCTGGGGCTCGAGTTGCCTTCTGTTGAAGCTCAAGCAGAGCAGCCCAGCGATTATACAACAAATGGTCCAATTAAAGGAAGAACAAAAGGCTCTCCATGTTTTCCCTACATAAACGCGCTTGTTAAGGGCACTTCACAGCCGGGTGTTTCGTCCTGCAACTCGAGTTGCGTTGATTATGAACCCCCTCCTTTTTAAAATAAATTTTCCATTGCTCCTTTTTTCCCTTCCTTCTTCCTTCCTTCCTTCCATCCTTCCTTCCTTGTGCCTTACTTTATATGTATATAAAGTATATATATATAAGTATAAGTGTGTGTGTGTGTGTATGCTTTCCTTTGAACCTTCCATAGGTGAACCCCTTGAAAAAATTCGCGTGGGTTTTTTTTTTCCCCTTAAGAAACCCAGCCAGACATTTCCGGCTGTTTCCCAATGAGCCAAGGAATCTGAAAGAACTAAAAGCGCCGCTGACCTTAAAAAGTCAGGAAAAAGGAAAGCGCGCTGCTGCTGCTGCTGCTGCTCCTATTCCGTCCTCCGGGCAAGCATATTAATTGTGGCAGAAGGGACCGGCTTGTCATTGCAGCCAAGCGTGGGCCGGAGTTAATGTGTAGCGTAAAAGAGAAAGTCGTTTGGCATTTCCTGGGATGGCTGCTGGCGCTGTATTGTCCATTGTTCCCATAGCCTGAAATCTTATGGGAGGTTTCCCCGCTCGGGCCCGCGCTTTCCTTACAGTTCTTGGCTTTGAAAGGGGAAATTCCCACGCATTAACCTCTCCCTCCGCTGCCTGATGCCCGGTTTATTATTCGAAAAGCCATTAAGGACAAGGAAGTTAGTTCGGTAGTCAACAGGCACAGGCAGTAAGAGAATAACTCGCGTTAAAATCCTGCCTCATCTGCTGTGGCTTCGATTTGCAGTCAGAAGCCAAGCTTGGTTGGAGCCCGGTGTGTCTACAAATGTTTACTCAAAAGTAAGTCTCGCTGCATCTGGTAGGCCCGGCTTTCAAGGCGCCCCTCCCTCCCAAAGTAGGAGCATCTACGAAGTATCTGATTTGTAACGTGGTGGCGAGGATGTAAAGTCCTTTAAAAAGTTTAAGAATAAGGTACCCCATAAAGTCTGCGACAAGAACTGCAAAAACTTTCCCCGTGCCATCTCATCACGAAATCAGCTTGTTGCAAAATTATCGAGGCTATGGGTGGGGAGGATGGGAACAGTAGTGCAGTCCAGAGGGGATTTTGCAACCAAATCCAGAGATGCAATTTATCCGAAAGAAAAGTATGTGTATATGTGTGGGAGGGGGAAGGAACAGAGAGCCAACAGCGGCAATCTAAGCTTTCAGCATTGAAAGCCAGTACCCTGCACAGAATCTCCAAATTCACTTGCCTATTTTCATAAATTAGTTCTGGCTTTATCCTTCCCTCTAAGAAGGAAACTGTTTATTGTGTGAGCGTGTGGTTGAGGGGAGAGAGAAGGCTTGTGTATGGTCCCCAGAAGAGATCTTGCTGTTTTGCTGTTCATACCAAATCACTTTTACCCTAAAAAACAAATCCAGCATATTGCATTATCTGTGTCCAACTCCCTCTGTCTATAACATTTTCAAAATATTTAGCATTTGACAATTTAAAAAGATACTTTTAAGGATGATGACTGAAGACTTTTGCAAATTCATGTCACTTGTATCTATTTTGATACAGCATTAGGTAAACAATCCCAGTAGGTGGCAGCCCTTAGTCTGTCTCAACTGGTAAGTCTGGTAGGACCTGGTTGAGACTTGATGAGAGACCAAGAGGAAATAGTGTAGATGTGGATAGACTGGGAAGTCATTGTAGTATTCTAAAGTGTCTCAGAAGGGGAAAAAAGTAGAAAAATGTCTATGTAATCCACTGTTTCTTGACATTGGCAACTTTAAGATATGTAGACTTCAACTTCCAGAATTCCCCAGCCAACATGCTGGCTGAAGGAATCCGGAAGTCTACACATCTTAAAGTTGCCAAGATTGAGAAATACTGCTGTACTCACCAGCTCAACTCAAGAAAGACCCTAAGTTGTACAGGTAAGAGGCCGGAATCTTTTTATTCCACTAAAAGACCCTAAATTCTTATCTGGGGATAGTCAAATATATTTATATCTGACTAGGACCATATACTACAGAGCTGGCCTCTATTTTTCTCCGTTCCCAAATACTTAAGCACACTTATCTTTCCATTTGAATGCTAAATGAATGCAGGCTGACTTCAGATATGGGCAGCATAATATTCCTCCTACAAGCAATGGAACATGTGGGAGCCAAAGTTATACCATAGTGGAAACCAAAGAATCTCCTTAGAAATGGGAAGAAGCAGAAAGGAGAATGTATTGCCAAGATCTATCCATATCTTTTGACAACTGATGCTTGTCTAATGACAGTAAAGTCACTGAGTGACTTGACTGGATATTTAGCAGTAATAGATAAATAGAATAGATAAAATGAACTTTATTTTGAAATATGGTATAACCAAGGAGCTAGAAAAGGAGAGGGTTTTTTTTAATGCCATCAGCTTATAAGACTGTCATTTTGAGTGTGAATTACATGTGTAAGTCGCTTCCTATGAGATGGGCAGCCATATAAATGTGATAAATAACTTCTCCAATAAAGTGTACAAAGATTTCAAAGTTTAAATGGCCCTTCCAAGGAGTCATCTTATTGATGAGGATGGAATATAAAGTATAAATAAATAAGCAAGCAAGCTTGAGAATTGGTTTGGTCATGCTTTCTGTGATATTTTTCCCCCAGTTTGGTGATATGTTAGAGTGCATTTCCTATAATTTTCGATTTATATGATGACTGAACATGCAGGATTGGAATTATGGAACTCTACTCCAATTTACTGAGAGGGCATTTGGTTGAGGACTGTTGTAAAATGCTTCATCTATTCATAAATGGTCTTTGAGTTCTCTTTGGCATGAGAAAGAAGTTGAATGCACATAGTTGGAGTCCAACTTTTCACTTTTAGATATGTAGAAATCCCATTCCAGCAATTTCCCAGGCTCCTTTTCCTTATCTATATCATGTGCTATTCCAGAGCCCAATAGCAAAGAAAATATAAGTTCATTTGTGATACTAAAACAAAACTCTCCTTTCAAGAAAGTGTTGGTTTTATCTACCATAAGGGAAAACCTTGCCATTGCTCTTCAAACACATTCCCAATAGCTTGGTGGATGGTGAAGCTTCAAGGTAACAAAACTCCTGTCTTTGCTACCTTCTAGTGTCCTGCTCAGAAGAAGTAACAGGACAACTCTCAGTTTTCTTTCAAAAGAAGGAAGGGGAATATGGGTAGGGCTTCCTTGGAAGGGCCATGTAAATATTGGTAGGCTTTATTGAATAATCTTGCATGCCAGATTAACCTCACTGACTGGAGGTTAACCATGAATGCTCTGTGCAGCCAACCAAAATAGTCTCATGATTAAAACAGTTACAGTGGTTTGCAAAACTCAGTCATGCAGTTCAGTTCTTTATTGTGATTAATCCTCTGTCAACTGAAGGTGGACAAGGAGGGAGTCACAATATATAGATTTCATATACAGTGGGACACATTCATGAAAACTGCATGCTGGTTTTTAAGGTTCAGTTACAACAGCGCTTTGAAGCAATGGCTTTGGTAAGGCCTTTAAGGATTGTTACAGTTTGGTAAGGCTAAGGATTGTTACAGGTGAAAAAGCCCACATATATACCATTAAAGATCTGCAGATGAAAAATGGCTGGTTAAAGATACAGTTTGTGTGACTGTGCAAACGTATGCTGTTTTAATGATCATGTTGGAACTGAGCAAGAAAGAGATTGTTTTCTGCCACCATCTGTACTGAATTGTGTTGGTTCCCATCCTTTTCACCTTTACATAGTGGAGTTGTTGATTGAAGCTTAAGTTCTGTTATCAAAATTAGATAGGCTCTAATCAATTTTTTTAGCCCTAGCTTTGCAAATGTAACCACAATCTAATTGCTAAAAACTTGCTTACCATTTTGTAATATTTTTGATATTTTTGATAAATATCCCTATGTTGTGGATTTCAGACTTTTCCTCCAAAAATATTCAGATTCTTGGCTTACTAATATCCAGTCTTTTGCATAGTCAAGAATCTGAAAATAATAAACTTCTTTGTCATTATAAAACACTATGTTCTCTCTCTTTTAATACACTTGTTTTCTTTTAGGTTTCAGGCTCCCTTTGTCTCAAACCTCTCTCTAGGTAGTTGCTATGATTATCCCTAAGGACTGAAATCACTGGAGGATAAGATCAAGAGCCTTTTTGTAATCTGGAAAAAAGTAAACAACAATAAAAAGAATTTATTAATATATTTATTTAAAAATTCATCAGGAAAGGAAAAATGTCACAATAGATGATTCCATAGTTTTCACTTTAGGAATATGTTAGTAGAGGCATCATATGGACATTTTACATAACAATGAAAAAAATGAAATTTGACTTATGACTGTGATAGGATAGTTTATTGAAGGTAATGAATAATGATGTAAGTTTAGAGAGATAGGATAAAATAATTTGTATTTATATCTGCCATGAAGAATATCCAAAGTCACTTCTTTATATGATATCTTTTTTTTCTATTTTCAACTTTTTCTTGTACATTTTGCTTTTTCTTTGACTTCTTATTTTTTTTCCTCATGATTTGATATTAATTTATATTTTTATTTTCTTGTTTAAAAGTTTCAATAAAAAATT